TTTTTTTCCCTTCTAGTACAAACGCGAAAGAAAAGAAGAACGAGGATTGACTTAATATTATGAGCTGTTTATGCACAGCTAACTTTTGATTACTAATTAATGACTTGACGCAACCTCTCATAGCCGCTGTTACCGCAGCTTGCCAAACTCGAATGACAAAAAAAGAGTAATATGAATGCAGGACTTTGTCATCCTGTCAACATTCTTTATAAGAAGGCACAAATATAAGTTTGAAAGAGGACTTTAACCGACACTACACAAACCTCATGCAATTTTTGCATATGTCGGATGAAATGCTCTCCAACACGTCGCGCCACTTTCGTATCCGCGATGCAGATCATGTCCTGCGCATATTCAGGGTTTTTAGATCCAATAAGAACTAAATTGCTATCTTTATAACTCTCACCTTATCCACATAGAAATCAATGTCTGTATTCGGCTCATCATCATCATTTGGAGCAGCTATTGAATCCTTGCCGAGTTCATTTACAATCATCTGAGAAAAAAGCAGTCTTTAAGACAAGCAGCGACATCGGAAGCATCACATTCAATCTTGCCTTATACGTCAATAATTTTCCAAGGAAAGAATCATAGCTTGCATCATCAACATCCATGAACGATGCTAACTTCTTCGTCGGCAATGATGTGTACAATTTCAAGTAGCCACGCAAAACTGGCAAAGCCATCTGCGCTTCAACTCCTTCCAAAAATGCTTGAGACTGTCGTAGGAGTGGCTCATAAAAGCAGTTACTTCAAATGGAAAGACAACGATAAGAAAACTAATGTAAGCATACTTTTGAAAGGTTTGATCCCTCGTACACAACAGTAGTTGGCGAAAGGAATTTCGGACAACTGCAAAGAGGTGAAACTCAGCAAAAACAAGAATTATATCAAGGGATGAAGACAAAAATATGGGAAACTGTGAGAAAAGCCACGCTAATTATTAGTTCGTTGCTGAATAATTTCTTGAGTGCTGATTTATATGATAAGGAAGGCTCGAGCTGCTCTTTTTGAGGTCAACAAATCTTCAAAATCAGAATTTTGGAACATTTTTGTATCATTTGAAAGCAGTGAGTCTGGCTAGCCAATGAATTTGGTTTTGCTGAAGAAGTGGTCAAAAGAAAAATTAAAGAGCCAAAAACTTAAGAGACGGCATAATTTCTTTCCAAGGGGGGCTAAGCTTAGCAGTTGTCACAGATACCCAGGG